CACGACCCAAGCATACTACCTTCACCAAGCGCGGTTCGGTTGTGTAATTGTGGCGTACGGACTCGCATTTCCACCAACCGCGCATAGGCGCTGCGCCAGTCCGCGGTGTACAAACCCCACCAGCGTAAGGTAATTGCATACTGAACAGCACACGCAGTTACCCGGTTCACAGCTACAGCAGAGCCTTCCCGTAAATGTCATGGCCACACATAGCGCATTGCAGTTTATTTGCCGATGCTGTCTTCCTCCGTCAAACCGATGATGCTTTACACTCAGCAGCTTTAGATAGGTAACTCGGCGACGCACTGTGCAGTGATTACGCGCAAAGAAAGACCACATACATGGATGGGTAGATGTCCGCAAGTGCGGTCAATTAGCAAACGCACTCGGAACCATGAGGCAACGCTCTAAGATATTCCACAGGAGCAATTAAATCGAACAACGGTGCAATAAAGGCTATAGGCGAGTGCAATCTCGAGTGTCCTATCAAGCACATCACCAAACCACTGTGAGTTACCAATGTGCAGCACGCGCACACTCAAACTGATTCGACTCGCCACATCCGTCAAGCGCTGACCTTTCAGTGGGCATGCCGGAGCCAGAAATGAGCAGCGGTCTACACCTTCTCACCGCCCCTCTGGCGCCACTAGCCCAAATTCCATGCCAACCGATTCTCCACATGGGCGAAACTCGTTATGTAAAACATAGAGTCCTCTTCATTAACCCAAGAAGAGAACTTCAGTTAAATAGATGGGTGCCCTATTAATGCAATTGCGCCCACTGATGAGTGATAGATAATGCGCAATCGAAAGCGGAATAGCCTTGCATCAGTAGTTTTTGTGCGTAGAACATCCGACGAATCGTCTTTATCACAGAGCCTCACTGGTGGCAAGCAGTTTCCGACTGCGGTTACGTAATAACAACTTGAACGAATTCACCGGGGTTTCATTAGAGTTTTGTGTATGGACATGGTGCGGGTCCTGTTCATCACTTGGTCCATTCAATCATGTTGCCACAGGATTGGCATAAATCACATTGGGAAATGTCCAACCATCCTGGGAGTCAGTTGAACTGATGAAGTGGGCCATACCACGGAGGCTGAACTGTCTGGCAATGTACTCTAGCGCTTTTGAATGACACTGATTTTGAAGATGTACATAAGTGGTGCTCAAACAGTCGTGTAGGTGTGCAATAAAGCAAACCCGGTTTAGTATTAAGTGTCGTTCACAAATGCTTGATGCCAACGGCACCGATGTTACTGATAAGTGTCTGCCTACCTGCGACCGCGCACCATTACACACGGATCTGGAACGTGCGTTCCAAGATTAGCGTTAACAATCAAGAGGACTTGCATTATATTCGTCCCCCTTTGAACCCAATGGATTTGCGCAGCTCGTGTGCATCCACCACTTTTGGGCACGCAAGCTACGCAAATCTGACGTACTTATATAAGAAACCGTGATGGCTAAACCCTTCCGCGCACCGTGTACTACGAAGCAACGTAAGGAGGAGAACACATTAACTAGACCACCTGGTTGTCGTGTAACACGTATCCCTTTTGCAATAGATTTATTTTTCCTATTTCGTCTGTTGCGTGCTAACTCCGTCTCGTGAAAGCGTTATTGCAAGGGCCAGGAGACTTTGCAGTCTGTACTCAATAAATACTGAATAAAAGGTTTATACAACAAAACACTTTACAATGCATGTCTTTGGAAAACCATCCAAGTTCACGACAAATCCTAAAAATGCTGTCAATTCTTACTGTCACGAAAATGACTGTCTTCCTGTTTCTACCGCTCAAAGAGCATAATGTCGTGTGGGGTGCTTGACAGTAAAGCAGGTCTACCGTATCGCGAAGATACATGAACACTTAACCACAACACATCTACACCCCAAAAATGTGTTATCATCCAGAACTGCCAGAGTATATTGCCAGACCGTTCCGCCTCCGTGGTATGGCCAAGTTCATGGATTCAACTGACTCAAGGAATGGTTGACCATTTCGTAATGTAATTGAAGCCATCCCTGTGGTAACAACATTAAGTGGACCAAGTGACACACAGGACCTGCGCCTCGTCCATCCCCAAGCATCAAATGAAGCCCCGGTGAATTCGTTCGTTATTATTACGCAACCGCAGTCGGAAACTGCTTGCCATCAATGAGGCTTCTTTGATAAGCACGACTCGTCAGATGTTGTACACTGCGCACGAACTCACCATGATTCGGATGGCTACATCCATCAAACGCGGATCTAACAACATTGCGCTCAGTGAGTATGCCACACCCCGAAACGCACCGGTCTACACATTGTCCCCGCTTCTCAGGCGTCACTAGCCTTATGTAACCGCTCCTCACCAAGCATACGTATCTATGCTTATTGGAATACTTAGCATGCAGTATGTGATGTCTCCCATTCGAATCCTTTGTTCTTTTAACCACAGATTCTGGAGGTGTCTAAATGATATATCACTTTCAGCTCATGTCTCTCGACTTAATTCCTTTGCTTAATATACCGAAGTGTAGTTGCTTCCATTTGCATCATTTGAATAACAATAATTACAATGGTAAGTATAATGCTAAAAAAAAGGAAATGGGTGTAACCATTGTTTCTGCTCCGTTTATAAGTTTGTTCTTTCTCTGATTTCTGTTCATGATGTTTCTGTCCACGAGTAGACACCACGCATGGGTCAGTCGCACTTCATTGGTTGTATCGCGGTTGAGTTATCGAACATCAGTGTTCTCTTCATTTCTGAATATCAGTCGACCTTATGACTAGTACGGTGATTGCGCGCCGCTTATATACCATTTTCACTTTAAACTGGACATTTTGCAAACCAAACTGGACATTTTGCAAACCAAAGTGGACATTTTGCAAACCAAACTGGACATTTTGCAAACCACATTGGACATTTTGCAAACCACATTGGACATTTTGTAAACCAAAGTGGACATTTTGCAAACCAAACTGGACATTTTGCAAACCAAACTGGACATTTTGCAAAACAAATTGGACACGTTGCAATCCAAGTAGCAACTGGCCAATTTGTTGGTAAGAAACGAGCAGTAAGACTGCTGAATGATGTTCAGAATATACATTGTGATGACGCTAATGCACCGGCATTGTGTAAGCAGCGGGCTACACTGTAAAACTGCTTGATCGTGAGCAGCGACCGAAGATCTGAACTACACTCCCCTCTCCCCATTGACACTCGCCCAGTTGGTGTGCAATGCCCATACGCATCAACCTGTGTAGGTGTGTGACAATTGGAAAATCGGACATCCGAATCGTAATTGTGTATCAGTCATTTTGTGAGTGGATTGCGATGCATAATCTCAATGTGCACCGTTATTCACATTAGAGGGAACCTTTTTCGATTCGGTCAATGGAACCGTGTCGGATGAAGCAGGTAGGCGGTGTCCCAGCTTCGCCCGTCTCTCTATTAGCTTTCGCAACTGCCACGTTATTGTATCAGCGTAGGCTGTAATGACCCCCAGCAAAACCAGTCTAGAGCTATAGCCTATTGTTGCAACATATCAACTACTGAGGAGTGGGCCGATTACACGATGTTCAGGCCACATTGTGGTCACGATAATGTAACCGAACTGCGTACGTGGCGAGTGATTGTGTAAGCCCTTCTCTTGACATGAGTGCCGTTCGCCTCGGTCAAAATCGGTGACCAATTTTCCCCTACACCCCCCCCCCATAGGAATTCGTGTTTTGTCTGTGTGTGTGCGGCACGGAGCTAATAAAGCTAAGTGGTGTTCAGTGGAACCATTATCGTATTCTCCGCTCCAATAGTGGTAGCGCTGCATAGGTCGGTCCACACACCCAGACAAAACACACGAATTCCTATGGGGGGGGGGGGTTGTAGGGGAAAATAGGTCACCGATTTTGACCGAGGCGAACGGCACTCATGTCAAGAGAAGGGCTTACATAATCACCCGCTACGTACGCAGTTCGGTTACATTATCGTGACCACAATGTGGCCTGAACATCGTGTAATCAGCCCACTCCTCAGTAGTTGATATGTTGCAACAATAGGCTATAGCTCTAGACTGGTTTTGCTGGGGGTCATTACAGCCTACGCTGATACAATAACGTGGCAGTTGCGAAAGCTAATAGAGAGACGGGCGAAGCTGGGACACCGCCTACCTGCTTCATCCGACATGGTCCCATTGACAAAATCGGACAAGGTTCCCTCTAATGAGAATAACGGTGCACATTGAGATTGCGCATCGCAATCCACTCACAAAATGATTGATACACAATTACGATTCGGAAGTCCGATTTTCCAATTGTCACACACCTACACAGGTTGATGCGTATGGGCACTGCACACCAACTAGGCGAATGTCAATGGGGAGAGGGGAGCGTAGTTCAGAACTTCGGTCGCTGCTCACGATCAATCAAATGTTTTACAGTGTAGCCCGCTGCTTACACAATGCCGGTGCATTAGCGTCATCACAATGTATATTCTGAACATCATTCAGCAGTCTTACTGCTCGTTTCTTACCAACAAATTGGCCAGTTGCTACTTGGATGGCAACGTGTCCAATTTGTTTTGCAAAATGTCCAGTTTGGTTTGCAAAATGTCCAGTTTGGTTTGCAAAATGTCCACTTTGGTTTACAAAATGTCCAGTTTGGTTTGAAAAATGTCCAGTTTAAAGTGAAAATGGTATGTATAAGGTCTATGCAAATGTCCAATAGACCCATCGGTTGTTGTGATTGATTAACTAGAAGCTCGCTTCTTTTCCCCGTTGCTGTTGTCATGATACTCCATTGAATGATGATTCCCCTCACCATCCACGAGCGATGCGTCATGTCACACCCACTAACTACACGTGCCTAATCACATGACTAAGTGCATTCGCTCATTGGTCTTTGTTTCTCATTGGTTCGTTTTGGTCCCAAATGTTTTCAGTTGGTTCCGGTTAGGAGCGGAGTAGAGATTCACACCTACCGTCCGGCGTTGGTGTTTTTCCTACGTCTAGACGGACTACGGGTCCATACACGGATTAGGAAGACACGATCGGTACGTATCAAAATGACGACGAATCTACTTGTGGGCCTCTCATTACTGGCCGGAGATGACAGAAAAAACTTTTTGACGAACATGGATTTAGTGGAAAACTTCGTTCCAACATCGGGTGACTCTTTCCCTGTGTTGAATCCTTCCATAATGCTGTCCGATACCCACTGGATTTTGTTGTTCCGCCCGGCACCTGATTCCGAAGGATAAAGACATTTCGATGCAATGAAGTTAATGATTAAATCTGGGATCTCACAAGGGATTCATTTAGTTGAGGAACTATGGGGAATTCAACAGAGCGCGTTTTCCGCTCGCTATCAGTTTTCGAAGTTGCAGCAGCAGCGCAGAGAAAGCGTAAACGATTTTATCGCACGCATTCCCCAAGCTACTTCAGAATGTCGTTACAACACAATCCCTTCGACGTGTTTTGAAGAAGCCATGAAAACTCAGTGCTTGATAGCTGGAAGTATAGATGATTGATCAAGGGAAAAACTATTATCCCAGGAAAAAGAAACTTTTTCTTGTTCGGCAGAGGGAACATCTGAAAAATATGTTGTCCACTCTTAACACCGCCCAGCCTGCAGAAACTGTGAGCAAACTCGACCTTTTTCCTCTGAGAATATTGTGCAGAAGTTTATGTGCTACCGATGCGGTGATCAACACACTTCCAACCAGTGCCCTCCCTTGCTTACAAAGTGAAGGAAGTGCAGTAAAGTTGGCCATTTGGCTCGAGTGTGCCGTTCCCTGCCATCACAAATTTCCATTAAACGAAAACGATGGTGAGTCATGGGATTCACAGTTAAACTTTATGAACCATGCATTTGCGAACTGTTCAAACATGAACAAAGTACCTCCGTATTTGATCACGCTTGTTGTTAATGGTCAGTCTGTTTTATTTGCATTATACACCGGCTCAGCAGTAACATTAATAGACCAGACTACACTTTCACCATTACCTAATCTGGAACCGAGTGAAACAGTTTTCAAAACTTATATGGGGGAGGTCATAGACCTAGTGGGAAAATGCCAGCTTCTAATTCAACATCAGGGTAGATCGCACGACTTAATACTTCATGTTGTTCCTCGTGGATTGACCAGTCTGTTGGGGCGTGATTGACTAAGATAGTTACCGCAGGTGCTGAATACAATCAACTTCGTGGGGGTGGAAACCGTAGACTCTGTCCTAAAGCGATACCCAGAGTTATTTAATGAACACCAGTTGGGGAATCTCAAACATTTTGAAGCCAAAATCTATATGGCGGATTCTAGTACGCCAAACTTCTTCAAGGCTAGAACACTACCTTATTCTCTACGGCCAAAGCTTGAGGAAGAATTACAGCGGCTGCAGCACGAAGGCACAATCGTACCGGTTCAACAATCCGATTGGGCAGCATCGATAGTCCCTGTGCTTAAGCCAGACAGCGGTGTGCGGATTTGCGGTGATTACAAACTAACAGTGAATCGCTGCACTATCATGGACCGTTACCTCTTAGCCAAAATTGAAGATTTATATGCCACTTTATATGGTGGGGTCAAGTACACTAAACTTGATTTAAGTCACGCGTATTCGCAGTTGGGATTGGACGACGATTCTCGTCCGTTTACTATGATTAGCACACATTTAGGTCTATTTGAATGCACTAGACTCCCATTTGGAATTAACTCTGCCCCGGGCATTTTCCAAAGGATAATTGACAACTTCGTACGTGATATACCGAATGCTTGTGCATACTTTGACGACTTACTAATCAACGGCAAGGCAGAAGTAGACCATTTGCGCACTCTGGATAAGGTCCTACACAGATCGTCCGAAAACGGGTTACGTTTGAAGCGTTCCAAATGTGTTTTCTTAGTTGATTCCGTTGATTATCTTGGATATCGACTAGATGAAAATGGATTACATGCACGAAAGGACAAGCTGGAGCCCATCATTAGTGCACCCAGTCCACACAACGAAGCACAGTTACGTTCGTTTGTTGGGATGCTTTCAAACTACCGTCGTATTTTACCTAACCTGACCTCTGTGATCGCACCACTTCATGATTTGTTTAAGAATGATGCCAAATAGTCATGAAGAAGGAAAGAGGAACAAGCGTATTTGAAGGTGAAGAATCTACTTGTATCTTCATCTGTATTAGTGCATTCTGATCCAAACAAACCTCTTGTTTCACAATGTGATACCTCATCGTTTGGGGTGGGAGCAGTCCTGTGACATCAGATTCCCGATGGAACCATTCGTCCTATTGCTTTCGCATCCCGAACACTGCAGGCCGCTGAGAAGAATTACGCACAGCTGGATGAAGAGACATTGGAAGTGATATTTGAAGTTAAGCACTTCCATCAATACTTGTGGGCAATCGGTTTGAGATATAGACAGATCATAGAACACTGAGTTCGCTGCTTGCTGAGGGACGAGTTATAGAACATATTAGTGCACCCCGTATGATACGCTGGGCACTCATCCTTTACGCTTACAGCTATCGAATTCGGCACATCTTTGGTTCCAACACTAATGTAGCCGATGCCACAGGAAGTACAAACGAACGAGTTCGTCCAGTTGGTCCAACATTTAGACACCACTCCAATATCCAGTGACATGGTTAGGAGAGCTACAGACCGAGCTCCAGTCCTGTAGACTGTTAAACGTGTGATGGTACGCGGTTGGGATTCCCGATCCACTGAGGTCCTACCTCCGTTCTTCACTTGCCGGTTGGAGCTCAGTCTGCATGAAGGATTTATCATGCGTGGATCTCGTATCGTTTTTCCGTCTGCTCTCGGATAAGCTGTATTGAGAGAATTACATGATGCTCATCCAGGAGTCGTCCGCTTGAAAGCTCTGGCCAGAGCATACTGTTGGTGGCCGGCAATTGATCGAGATTTCGAAGGTCTGTTGAATGCATGTGCTGTATGTCGACAATATCAGAAGGACAAACCAGCCGGTCCGATTCAACCATGGGAACTACCTGATGGTCCATGGGAGCGTGTTCACGCAGGCTATTTCAGTCCGATTGAAAGAAAAATGCTACTACTCATGTTGGATGCGTACTCAAAATGAATAGATGTACATATTGTCCCTAACGTTACTTCGGAGACCACAATTAATAAAGTGCGCACTAGCCTATCCACATATGGTATGCCAAAATATTTAGATACAGATAACGATCTGCAATTTACGAATGCAGCTTTCGAACAGTATATAAAGCGTAACGGCATCGACCAAATGACTTCTACACCATATCATCCAGCTCCCAATGGTTTGGCAGAGAGCGGTACAAACCGTGAAGACCGGTCTCCTGAAGCAAAGCCAAGAATCTTTGCGCACCAGAATAGATCGACTCTTGTTTCCTTATCACGTCACACCCTTGGAGTCCATCGGCACATTTCTGGGAGGTAATGTTTAGGCGTCGCCTACGCACAATGTTGGATATATTGTTTCCAGACCCCCGACAAACCATGCGTTTCCAACTACAACGAATGCACCAGAGTGGATACGGACTCGATAAAACCCAGAGTTTGTTGCGGAAAAAGTATGTGTATACGAAATTCCCACATGAGCCGATATGGCAGTTCGGAACTGTACTGGCCAGTTCACGAACGGAATCCGAAATAGAGCTGGAAACCGGACAAACCGTACGCCGGCACAACGACTTTATCCAGCCCCGTGCATCCGCGGTATCAGACCCCGAGGAGGAAACCGTTGATACAGAACAAACTGAGACTACTGAAAGGACCCAAATGAATGAAGTTGATCTACCGATCGCTGTTCGAACATTACGACGTTCACCCAGACTACTAGAACGTTGCATGTTACAACCATGCTTTTGTCTGTCATGTGAAGGGATGTTACGGACATCCACGACCGATGCGTCATGCCACACCCACTAACTACACGCACCCAATCACATTACTGTAGTGCATTTGCTGATTGGTCTCTGTTTCTCATTGGTTCGTTTTGGTCCTATATGTTTTCAGTTGGCTCTGGTTAAGAGCAGGGTACAGATTCACACCTACCATCCGGTGTTGGTGTTTTCTGACGTCTAAACGGACTACGGGTCCATACACGGATTAGGAATACACGATCGGTACGTAACAAGTGCTTTGTAGCCTTGTTAACCCATCCACTGTGTACTAATCTCGGCTACTCATAGAAGATTGCGCGCTTTACAACATACTTTATTACTGTTTGGTTTTGTGTATTGGCTCTTTGAAAACATCCGTTCTATAAGATATTGTATGAGGGTCATAAGCACATTATTCCTCAGGCGGTGTGGTTGTTTTCTAGCTCTTTAACTGTTTTCCTCACAATACTATCTTATTCCTCAACTTGAAAGGCACCTCACACAGGTGGAACCGGTCCAATCCGCTGCGCCTTGTGCGGCTTCTTCAATTTCCATTGTCACGTGTCCTCCTCATTGATTATCTTAGCTGCAGTTCGCCTCTTAGCGCTGCCTTTTGATTTATTTTCAACATGTGGCACTTAGCAAATCTATCTTTGTCATTGTCTGGTTATTGTTGAAACCATACCAACTGTCCCCACACGTAGCATTGTTGATTGAGTGGACCACATCGCTATCATAAACAACGTTTGCGTTTTTGTTTGTGTCGGTATGTACGGAATGATTAATCATCTTGTGTAAATGGCCTAATGGAATGAAAGTCGCTGCTTAGGCTCTAACTGTACCGCCATCGTTTACTTCGTAGAATTAGACTCAGGTCGGCTCGTCATTGTTCCTCTTTGCGTCACACCAGAAGCATTGTGCTTTCACGGATGTTCATATTCTTTCCGACATCAATTGAAGGATCGAAACTAATCCGCAAAGTGCAGGCTGTGATTCCTCTTGCCAACTCAACCAATATTTGTCCTGCTACTCTTTCAAGTAAGTTCGTACTGTAACGAACTGCAGACTGAATTGAATCCGGTGCGACCAGACTAATTCTTAACATTGTGCGACGATCTAGGTACTGGGTAGTGCCCTCAAGTCTTTTTAGAGCCACTCTTACCAAATTGACTAATGATTAGAGGTCAAACGAACTCAGTCTGCTGTTTTTGTATTTTGCGGCGGCAAGGGGGTTTGAAAATGGAACGACATCCATTTCTTTAAAGCCTGATGGTTATCATCTCTCCGTCAACATAATCATCATTAGACACGTTAGCTGCAGGTGGAAAACACCTCAGGTATTGTGTTGTAATACCAAAGACAAGAAGAAAAACAAGAGCGGCACGCCAGCTGAGTCCCAAGTAACAGATGGACACCGTTCCCGAGAGCTAACAGCCGGCTGTCGTGCCGCAAAAAAGGAGTTATATTACTCCTAACGAGTGAGATCATGATTGGAGGGGAAGGCTAAGCGGGAGGGGATGGACAAAGGAACGCACAACACAAACGCCACTGGGGCCGGCTCCTAGCCATATCTGCAAGTGTGTCCAACCACACGTGTTCATCGTCTTTAGGACCCCAGCCAGGCAGTCGGTATGCACCAACCGACGCCAACTTCGAAGTGAGGGTTTCCATCTCTCTCGACCAAGTTATTGCTTGGCCTCCCCTCTTTCTTTTCCAACCGCACCCTCGGCGCACAAACAATGCACGTCGCGGGAGTCGGTGTGCTGGCATGCGCAACACGTCACCCAGCCATCGGAGCCTTGTGCATGTTATAATGATCCTGAGCGATTCACTCGCTCTTCCTGCACCAAATACGCGACGCCGAACACGCTCATTGCTGACGCGGTGCTCCCACCGGACATGAGCTAAGCTGCGAAGGCAGCGATGATCGGCTGTGAGGAGTCTCTTTATGTTTGGCGACCTGATGGGCCAGATTTCACAACCGTATAAGAGGGTTGAACGGACGGCTGCGTTATAAACTCTGCCTTTCAGGGCAGGAGTAATGTTGCGTCTACGCCACGGGTGGAGGAGATTGGCAAAAGCACCTCGAGCTTTTGCTATACGGTTCGTAATCTCATCTTCGATTCCACGGGTGCTAATATAGCTGCCCAGGTACTTGCATTTCTGAACGACTTTTAGCTGATCACCACAAAGCGTTAGCGCAGGGATGTCTTTGCAAATCTTGGAGAAGTACTTTGCATTTCGACGGAGCAAAGCATAGTCCAATACGATAGGCAGCCAGTGCTTATCGGTCCAGTGCTGCTTTGCATGTTTGGGAGCTGTCACATATGAGGACAATGTCGTCCGTATACTCCAGGTCAAGAAGTCGCTCACCAGGAAGTAGTTGCACACCTTCTAGGTCGTGTCCAGCGAACGCTGTTTCCATGACAATCAATAGCGAAGTTAAAGGGGGAAGGTGACAGCGGGCAACCTTGTCTCACACCGCTGGAGATATTGAAGGCCGGTCACAGTTTGCCATAAACTCATTCTGCCCGAAATATGCGCCTAGTGATTTGATAAGGTTTACATATTTATCGAGCACACCTTTTCTCATCAGACCGTCCCAAAAGGCACATCGCTCCACCGAATCGAAGACACGTTTAATGTCGATAAACACGACTACAGTGGGTCGCCAATAGACATGGCGGTGCTCCAATACTTGACGCAAAGTGAAGATGTGATCGATGCAGCCTCGATTTCGACGAAACCCGGCTTGCTCTTCGCCGATCTGAACTTCACGAGCCCCAATCAGTCTGTGGAGAACGACCGAAGCAAGTAAATTAGAGGTAATTGAGATCGGACTGATTCCTCTATAATTGCCGCATTCCGAACTGGAGTCTCCCTTGAAAGTTGCGACAATGACAGAGCGACTCCAGTCTCTCGGGATAGTTTTCTGCTCCCAAAATTCCATTAGAAATCGTGTAAATCATACACAAAAGCAGGTCCCCCCGAATTTGTAGAGCTGGGGGAATTCTACATTCACCAGCGGCCTTATGCAATTTCAACAGTCGGATATCGCGGTCGAATTCTGCGCGTGAGAGTGGATCTAAGGAGATGGCCCTTAGAGAAGGGCACTCAATGCCAGGAAGAGAAAGCGGTAATTCATATTGCTTAAACTGCCTTGCAAAGTGTTCGGCCCAACGCTCCAACCGTTTTGACAACCTGTGGATCGGCTGTTCACTCGCGTCCTGTATGGTTTTGCTAACACAATGTCCTCTGCTGCCTACTTCCCGTATCAGAAGGCATAACTTATCATGATTACCAGCGGCAGTGGCTGTTTACATTTCCGATGCACGATGAGACCACCAGGCTTCTTTCCAGGCCAGCACACAGTTTTGTCCTGAGATTTTTGCGAGTCTCATTGCATTCGCTCCCAGCCGGAATACCTCGACGAGCATCCATAAGCTCCAGAAACTTTGCAGCGACCCAAGATCTAGGTTGACAATTTGATTTACCATATGAACACATGCCTGCAGAGAGTAACGTTTGGCGAACATGGGACCAGTGACGCTCGACGGTGTTCAGTGGGCGCTTACTCATCCCAAATAAAAGTGTACTTTGATACGCATTCAGAACGCCTGGTTCCGCCAGCTGGCTGGTGTCAGTGACTTCAGAGCGACGCTGCGGACGTCCGCCGAAACGCACACGCCGGTCAGCAAACACAAGAGTGTGATCGGAGTCCACGCTGGTGCTCCAAACCGAGCCTTGTCTTTAAAACAAGGCGACAAGCACGTACCCACGGATTACAGCTCGGTGAGTTTGCCGACGGTTCTGGTCAAAATGTTAGAGAAGGTGATTAGAGATTGGCTTGTGAGCCATTTGCACACATTTGCTTTCCTCAGTTGATTGCAATATAGTGTTCTCAAAGGCTATTCCTGCCGGTGCAATTTACTGATGGCACGAGAACCGTGGGCGAACTCCGTAGATCAGGGTGAGGCTGTGGCGGCTCTTATCATAGACTTTACTGAAGCATTTCGGTTGCCTCCAAACCTCACGAGTATTATTCAGTTTGTGAGAAGTTTAGAAGCAACCGAAATAAGGCTACCGCTCACCTGAACATGGACACGACGGTTGACAGTCGCCGGTCTGAATGCACTTTTTCAGTGTCCTGAATTGTGTTAACTAGAGAAGCGATTCCAGTCAACACAGAGTGACCACCATCCTTCAGAAAAGGGGGGAAGTTCGTCGGGTTCAGGAGCTTCGTTCCGTTTCAACACAGTGTGCTCGTGTCGATTCTCTTCCTAAATAGGAGGTATGGCATCTAATTCCCTCTTCGACTCAGACGATTCGGCTAGCCGCAGTGTCGCAGCAGGCATGCTGAACTGTTCTTCAAAATTTTCCGTCTGACGGTCTAGTCGAACAGGCTGATAATGAATCAGTTGCCCAACTTTCTCAGCTATTGATCACATATTTACTCATCGCTAAGTGTTGGAGCAGAGACACATATACAGACGATCGATTATGGTGGTTTTCCTTGAATTGAAAGCCGCCTTCGACTCTGTTGACGGCGCCAGCTTGTGGCGCTGCCTATCCATGAAGGGCGTGCCAGCTAAATTGCTTTCAGTTCTAAACTTTCGCTACCGTGATTCCGAAGGCCGTGAAAGGGTCTATGGGATACTCTCTCCTGAGTCCCCCACGACAAGTTGGCTTCGCCAGGGTTGTCCTATATCTCCTTTTCTCTTCAACTTTGTGATCGAAATGCGTATGGATGACTCGGTTCTTTCAGAGTACTCTGAAGTGATGGTTGTGTCACGCGACCGACTTCCAAACGTTACGTATGCGGATGATATAGCTCTTTTTGTGTCTGGCACAGTTGCTGTGCAAACACCATTGGATAGACTGGTACATAGCGCCGCACGCTTCGGCATGTGCTTTGCACCTTCAAAGTGCAAAGTACCGCTTCAGGACTGGACCGACACACCTCGGGTTCAGTTATCACCGAACAACCACTGGAAGTGGTGCATCGGTTCACTTATCTTGGTAGCTGTGTCAACTCTGATGGTCGCATCACTGAGAAAATTACTTCGCATATCATGAAGGCCCGTGTGGCTTACCAGAGACTCAATCATCTCTGGAGACGGCGGGATATCAGCCTGTCAGTGAAACGTAAGATGTATAACGTTGCAAAATTGCCGGCGTTACCGTATAAATTAGAAACCTGGCAAGTTCACAGCGGAGACATTCAACGCTTGGTCGGGTTTCACCACCGGTACTTGCGGAATATTTCTCACGCCTGTTGGGCACACGGAGTGAGCAGTGCTGATGTACGTCAGTTGGCTTTTGGCAAGAAGCCTTCTGGTGCCTCACTCTAGTGATTGCTGAATCTTGACCATTTACATTAGCCGGGTCATATCCTCCGTATGCCCATTTATCGGATGTTTGATATCCAGTATGCGTCGATGCTGCACCGTTGGGCGAAACCACGAGGTTACCAGTCGATGACATATCATAGGGTCACGAAGAAGCTAACCGAGAGACTTGGTGAAGCTGGTGCACGCCGACTCTGTGGATGGGGACGTCGGGATGGTTCATACGAGTGGTTGGAGACGGTTAGACATGGTGTAGTCAGTGGCTTTCCTGCATCCGACTTTTTGCATCTGGTTGTTAATCTTCATTCCATCCCGACTACTTTTGCACTTTTATGTTCTTCCTTTGTATTCTGTTTTTATTCAGCCTTAATTTTCTCGCCGTTACTCGTTATTGTACTTCAGGCGATGTGAGTCGTGGTGACTCGATCCACCGCACTTCATTGTGCGGACCATAGTTGTTTAACTGGACTGATCTGAAATCACCTTGTTTTCGTTTTCGTAAACTCGCCGCGATTAAGCTCTGTGTCAGGGTTAAACCCTAATTCATCTTCAACACGCTTCCGCGTCGTCCCGACCAATTATTAATTGGCAATTCGAAGATGGGTGGGCCATTCGAATTCCTGATGTCCATTTATTTATCTACTTGTTTCCTGTTTATTTAATTATTGACTTGTATGTGCGCTAAGCGGACGGAACACGTGCCCGATTTTCATTTGGTCTCACTTGTCGCTCTGTTTGCCTATCTCCCCCACTTTTATAGCCATCAAAATCGCGATTGATGCGAGTCATCCACAGCTCTCTGGCTCTGGTCAACTAGCGTTCATTCCCCGTGTCTTCTCCATATACACAGGCCAGCCTAAATTGGCCGACAGTGCACGTGGCACTAAAGGTTTCTCTCCAGCTAACCTCAGCCGGATTCTCGCTATGCCCAAGGATGTCAACGAGTTGTCGAACCGTTCGTTGTACAGACAAGCTCTCGATTTGGTTGATTTGGTTGATGATCTCAACTCGCTTCTGCACGAGTACCCCTGTAACTAATAAATGACGTCTTTTTTCGCGCAGTGTTCTGGAATTACTCCTGAGCAATCCTTTCGCGTTATTCATTTGGTTCATGAGTCTGTTTTCTGCAGCGAATATTAACCTCGTTCTCTATTTCCATGAATACGTGTGTCACACTTTAGTTGTGAGACGAGTCGATCAATTGATACTTTCTATTTCAGAGCTCACGTTTACTGCATAACAATTTTCGGTACTCCACTTGTGCTCAATTAGCACAGCTGTAGTGTCTAACCGTTTTGTCTATAGGAGGAGGCTCTTGGTAATGAGACGATTGTTGCTTCAACTCTACTCTTAATCCTAGAACCATACAATAGAGGTTAATCCTGTTGCTTGGATGTCTTGCGGTTGCTTTTTATACCTAGGTGTGGTTAGTTGCATTTGGAAATTCACATCTCCGGTGGATTTTGCTACGCGCCTCATAGAGCAAACCCTTCGAGTGCATCCTCTCAAAGTTGTGTGGTGGTATTTTTATAGGTCGTCTATCCAGCATAGGACTCGGGATTCTGTGTACAAATGTCTTGTCTATTGCAGTGCTGTTCCGATAGCCGTTCATTTTCTGTCCGGCCGAACTTGAGGCGTGTGATCTGGGTCTCACTCCTGTACGTTGAGAGCCTACTTACCATGCTCCTTATCGGAGGTTGGGCCTTTCTTACTAATTTGTTCGTCTAATTAAATTCACGCAACCGTGCCTGTTTCTCCCTGGTATCTGATTTCAAGTGACAGCAAAGCCTTTGTCTTACCAAGGTCTGAGACTACAAGTACTCAGACTGGTACTGGACTTTCTCGGAATCGGCTTGTAGTTGTCTTACGTCACAAAACATCTGCTCGCTCACTCAGATGTGTAGATGAGCTTGACCACACAACACCTATTACAACTGACTGGCAGGTCATTTCGAAGCGATCGTCATGCAATTGGATTGCGACGTGCAATCCCAATGTGAACGACGATTCGCATTGAAGTGAACTTTGGTCCCTTCGAGCACTTGAACCGTAACAGAAGCAGGTGGAACTTGGGTACTGCACACCTAGAAACACTGCACAGCACGACGCGTTTCGATCTTGTTTGAGCTCCTTAGGTGGAGATAGCAGGCATTGAACCCGTGACCGCCGGGATGTTAGTTTTGACCACTAGCTCTCAGCCGCCAAGTCACGACGCTCAATGCTTAGCGCAACCGTTACTGATAGCTTTGGAGGGTCATTTAGAAGCATTCGTTGTGTGTGGATGGATTGCGACGTGCAACCTCAATGTGGATCGCGATTTGCAATGAAATGATCCTCGGCCGATTCCATCACTGGGACCGTAATTGATGAAGCCGATGAATATTGGGTGTTGCCGCTCGGATCACTGTATTCCACTATGCGTTTCGACCATATTTGATCTCCTTAATTAGAGATAGCAGTCACCAAACCCGGTCTCACTGGCATGCTATTTGGGACCGCTACCCCTACCCGGTGGCCAGACTAGTAAAGTGTTCCGGCCATATTCCAATGGTCCCGGCTTCTATGCCTGCCATCTCCATCTGAAGAGATTAGCTAACTTCGAAACGCGTCATGGATTGCATTGTTTGCAAGTGCGCAACACCCAATGTTCACCTTTCGCTTGCGTGTAACGGTACTGCGTCCACCTCCCAACCTGCGCTTCATGTTACGTGCTATTGAGCTTATCACCCGAGACAAATACAAGTTGCAATCAAGCAGCCCACGGAGCCCAAAGGCGTTATGCACCGACACTTTGTTGCCATGCGACTTCCACTAACAACATCCATGGTCTATTCAAACTGCGAGGTTGCGCGCACCTGCGTGCGCTTGAACCAATCACCTTTGAGGTTCAAGTCAAAAATTTGAACCACAACTGGTCCACTGAGTTCAACACTGGATCGTGGACGCAACGCTGGTAAAGTGAACAGGTAAGGTACATTTCGCGACGTCCATTCCTTAGAACCCAAATTTCGCAATTCAATCAGCCTATGGCTGCGATAACATGGTTTCCCATATTCCCGACTAAGACTTTTCTGCAGCTTAGCCTCTCAACTCTCCACTCATTTCATCATGCCTCTGAGGACTTATGAACGTTCTTATCACCAGAATAGTGGTTTTGAGCTGAACCCTTAACACCGTTTTCGTGTACCGTCGAATTGGTCTCATTGCTGGCAGCGTGGTAATGGAATGCCGCTACGTGGCACGGCAATTCAATTGAGAAAACCTCTGCGGATAGACCACATAGCTCAACCCAACGCCTGCAATGTTGCTGTGGTAAACTCTTACTGCTTGTTGTTTCCGAACGTCATCCACTTGTCCCACCAATTGCAGTCACACGCCACATTTTCCCGTTCTCCTTTTTAGCCACTGACGTCGTTTCGTAGAATGCATCTGAAACAAGGTGAGTTTTATGTTGTCGGACACGATCTCCACTGAGTAGTCACAATTTCCTCTGACTATTCCACCATCACCTACTTGTCTACGAAATATGGAGTGAACATTTAGATTAGTTTATGTTTGATGAACCACTGGGGCCCGTTGACTTCTTGTGCGCTCCTTTGGTGGCCTGTACATGCGTGATCGAACGAATGAAATTCTGCATCTAGCAATTGTTTCCGCGTGACATATCCATTTCGGATGTACGCGATGGGAATGTTTATGGGGTGGCGACGTTTTGATTTGCGCACAATAAACATTGGTTGTCTGACCAGGTTCCCTTGACTTGATGAATGTTTATCAAAACTTCATCTTATCGAATTATGACTCAGCATCCTGTGAACGACAATTCGCTTAAGGTCGATCAACGCGTAAACCAAATCTTGACTGATCCACGACAGTCTCATTACTTAGAGGGTGGTAAGTAACGTACAAACCTCAAGGAATTCCAACCAACACGATAGCAGAATGGAACCACACAGGGTGAACGTGTCGGAGGCAATTCGCGGTTGAACACGAGCGCACACATTCACGGCCTAGAAGCCACTCGAGGTCCAGTGCAGCGCCAACGGTCATCAGAGCAGTCACTAAGAGAGCGAATGCGACGCGGTGAATCATCGAATCATGATCAGTCGACTAACGCCACGATAGATCAGGAGAAAGATTCTGGGATTCACATGAAATGTCTGACTCTGGAGTGTCAGTAACTGGAGCGTGTGTGAACAAGCTTGACGCTGAAACGCTGGAACGTTGGGAAACGGGGTGAACGCGTTGGACTATACTTCTCAGCCAAATGTTTCCATAACGTTTTCAAATTCCTCCTGAAGAAATTCATGTTCCTCCGTAGATCTCTCAAGATGGGTCGTAACGCTTGTAAGTTGTTTCAAACGGGCACAGATAGTCCTAAAAATATGTACTGATACTTGAGTGACTTATCCCAAATCAGCCAATAGTATAACAGATGATTACGCAAGATGGGGTGCTATTGGAAGATTTGGGGTTGGTATCTCAATGGATCGTAGCATTTAGTGGCGTTTGTGCCCACTGAATGCAACTTGAGATGTTTATTGGCGAACATGGCTTCCTTAAATAGACATTTGCTAGCGCTATGGATTCATTTGGCTGAGAAAAGGTGTAGTTGTGTGTGGGAGCGTCGATGACTCGAATTCGCTCAAGCAGGTTGACACAGCTAGCCAGACGTGTCCTGATAATTCTTCATTATACACGCTCCTTAGAAGGCATTGTACACGCATTCATTCTCCGGTGTCTGCTTATCTTGAACTGGTCTTCTTCTTTCACTTTCAGTTTATGCAGATGTTTTCTTACATTTCGCCATTATCAGGTGACCCGAAGCCAGCCATTGACCCTTCGCGTTTCACTTTGATTGGCCATCGTTTCTGTCCATATGTGGAACGTGTGCGACTGACGTTGCATTATCACCACATTGAGTAAGCACACGTTTTTTTCCTGCTTGCCTCGCATTCATGAATCATCCTTATCCACATCACATACTTCCTGGCAGCTTAATTTGCCCTCACTTTATAAAGTAATGGTACTTATGCGCTCTCGCCGAGATTTCTTTTACTTCCCACATGCTGCCCTCATTGTCTGATACACGATTTCTCTTTGTCTGTATTCAAGACTCGTAACCAACTAGTTGGGCCTCTCTCGTTAGGTACTGTGCACGCGTTAATGTATCTACTTCTTTGTAGCGTAGGCTATAATACAACCAATGCACCTATCGGATGATCTGGTACACCTGAGGAAGTGTCCTTCCCACGGTTTTATCTTGTGCGGTTCTTTTCGCCTTCCTGGTTCCTCATATGCAATGATACGAAACATCATTTTATACGGCGACAGCTATACTACGAGCACGTTTACTGTGACTGCCAGGATCGCTGAAGTCTCTTTTCCTAAAGTTGCCTGTTACAATTACTTTTCATACCATTGTGTCGAGTAGCCCTCCAGGAAACAAGAACAACGTCTGGGCGGCGATCAAAATTTATTCCTAAGGAGAAACGCGGTATTCTGCTGTCTTCCGCTTATTGGCCGTCCCTTGTTACCTCGCCTGTGACGTTAGCTCCATCCACTTGGTTGGTGCTCGTTCTTCCGTTGAATCGATTGACATTTACTGAACCCAGGGTTACGTCGAGCCGCTTTGTTGACACCGCCGATAGGCTGCATGGTAGCGTCTGATTGGCCCTTGGTCTTTTAGGTTGTTTGTTCCCCGGCTGGCTAGCTGACACAGCGGTGCGTGTTGTTAAACTGGACTCCGGAGTGAGTCACCCACCTTCCATACTGCTGAGCGACCCGCATCTTAAATGCCGTAAACCACGATGTTCCTCGTGTGTGCTGAGCTAAACCGGTCATGCGCACTCAGCCCCCGTCTGATTGGCCCCCGGGCCATCGTTACCGCGACGATTCCATTTGCCGCAGGATTTAGTCACCATCACACGGTGTAGAACTTTTATTTCTCACGACGGTTCCCTTGAATGTGTGTGGGTGTGTGTGCAATTTTCAATTCATTACTTCCATTTGCAGCTTTGACTCAATATTCATCGCTC